AGGTGTATCGACCCATAGCACCTTGGAGACCTTTCAGTTGGGGAACTATGTGGCTGAAAATTTAGATTTTGGAGACTTTACTGCAACAAAACTCCACAACTGCAATTACATCTGATGGCTCTCTAAAGTGCATAATTTGAATTCAACAATAACACAATGCCACTATTACAACCTTTGTGCCATGGTAAACAGTCTGGCATTCCAGCCAAAAGTTACTTACTGCCAATATGGCTGGATTCTGTTATCATGAAATCTACTCCTCCAACTTTTGGCTCCTTCTCTGTCTTCTGCATGGCCGACACTTCCTCTTTCCAGTGTGACTGCTCATGTCGTGCTGCACATATAAAGTGTTATCATTAGTAAGGAATACATGGTTGTGCAAAGTGCACCATGTCTATGAGACCACTTCTGCCTCAGAAGAAACATGGAAGTTGACCGCAGTGGTGCTCATTTGTCCCCAACGTGGGTGGGCCCAATAATCAGGCACCCAGGGATCCTTCACACCCTGTCACTCTTCTTCTTTTTTGTATCACTGTGCCTTGGAGGGAGGGCAAACAATCAGCATGGAGTGGGAAATGTTGGGACTACAGGATGCTGGGAAGCATGAGGCAGAGTGTTCTGAGTCATGGTTTCTACAGTCCTGTTCATGATGGACCGTTTTGTTAGACATTGGAGGGGTTACCTGCTGACTTTCAGCAACCGCCTGAGTTTTATAGGGTTTTCTTAAGCAAGAAATACTTAGTATCTTCTTGGGTTTGGTTCCAGGACCCCCAAGGATCCGTAGGTGATCACTGCTTAAGTCCCATTATATTCAATGGTGTACTATATAATGGAAAAATCAAGGTTTGCTTTTTTGCTTTTTAAAAATACGTCCAAGCCACAGACAGCTGAATGTCTAGATACAGAGGGGTGACTGTACACAGAGGTAGGTTGGCCAGTTCCTTTCTCTGTAACTGGTATTCAACTGGTATTCTCTGTCTACAGTAACTGGTATTCATTGGCAATTTCCCACTCAAGTACTTATTGGGAGCTTGATACACACACTTAAAACTTAAGTCACTGCATTTGCTTGCAGGTTCATACCTGACACATCCTTCAGCAGTTGATTCATATACTTTTCTTGGAAACCGCAATCAAATTTAGTCCGAACATCTGTGATCTCTCCACCAAGAAAGCCCTCCCATATTTCAATCAAATATGTCTGAGTTTTTTTAAAAAAAAAATCGCTTCCCTAAATCTTTTAAAAATTAGTCAGAATATAAATGAGAGTATGATCTAGTCTTTTGAACAGTCTGATTCTGAATCATACAAGCTTTATTTGTTACAAAACCTATTAAAAAGAACTAATTACTTACTCGGAGCAGGATTTACTTTTATACTGTGAGGTTACAGATATATATATATATATATTCCATTTTTGCTCAGGACAGAAAAATGTGTAAAATGTGTAAAGGTTATTTCATTATAACTAAGATAGTTACATGCTATGAGTACTCTTGTGCTGAAAATCTTGACATTTGGGTATTTGAATGTATTTAAAATATTCAACATCTACAATTGTTTTTTTAAAAAAACTGAAGCAAACCTTGTCTCCTTATTTGTTACCAGTATGTGACCCTTCAACTCTTGGCTCAAGAACTAGAACGGCAAGGCAGGAGGAAGTCGAAACAGTCAAGGAAAATCTTTCTGAAGGAAGCAGGTGTGTAGGGAATCTTTGTTGGCCAGGCTGGAGATGCTATGAGGACTGATTGGGTTCTTGAAAAACAGCATGTCCTCGCCAATGTTTACTACCAGGGACCACTCGACCAGGGACCATTTAACCAGGAACCACTCTCCAACATTAGTACCAAAAGTTTTACGAATCAGTTTTTGGTCAACTTTAGATTCAGTTTGGTTGTTTGGAATGACATTGGATAGACCACATCAGCTCTAGTTTCTTATACAGAACATATGCCACACACAGAAAACAATATTTAACCATCTAGAATTGATGTGGTAGTAGTAATCTTTTGTGGGTAGTCAGCCTCTCACCTCCCAACATCCCCATTGCCTCGGCACTATAAGGGGGTTTCACGAGACTGTCCCTCTTGTTGCCACATGGTTTCGAGACAATGGTGTAGTAATGGTGATGCCACAGACCACATTTTCTTTCTTGCGGACCACTGGTGGTCCGTGGACCACAGGTTGGGAACCACTGCTCTAAAGAGACTTCAGCAGAAGTTACTCCTCTCTAAATCGGTTCCTAGTATAGCTAGAATTGTAAACTCCAGTTATGTGATTAGGATTTAATCGTTGAAATAAAACTTTGTGTTTCCCAGAAAAGGAAAAATGTGTAAGACTCATGTAACAGAAATGTTTCATTTTTGCTTTCCAAGCTGCTTCAAAGTAACTCACCAGATAGGATGGGTTCTTTAGCTCCAGCATAGTCCTGAAAGCAATACAGTTTGGTCACCGAAAAGCTACAGTTCTTTGCAGAGGCATAAACTACACATTGATAAGCATATTGCTGCATCATAGTTTAGAGGGGAACATCTCCATGCCCTCCCCATGATTTCTTCTCTTTCTCAAACCTGGCCAGTTCAATAATGTTTGTTTTCCATTAACGAGTTTAGCATTTAATCCAAACCCTAAACTTGGACAAACGTTAACCATTGCTTATTTTAACAAACTAGCACAATAACCTATGGTTTGTATTTGCTTGTTTCAAACAAATCATAGTTAATCGTCTACTAAATATGATGAACTGTGGTTAAGACAAAATGGAAGCAAAGAC